ACACAGTTGCGGACGATTCTTAGCGAGTAAGGGGCGCATCAGACCTTCTGAAAGTTCAGTTGCTCTCTTCAGCCTAGCTTTAAAAAGACAAAGGTTAAGCAGTCTGTAACACAGTCTTGCCTAGCAGATACACGCTGACCAGGACTACACCTGAGCCATGGGCTTCTTGGTTAATCTTAGGGTTTTACAGTGCACAATGTGACTACTAGTGTATAATAGACACACTTAACTTGGAATAAACTTCTAATCCACCACTCTTGGTCTTCCCAAGATTACCTAACTTGGACCCAATACATTCCTGAATTTAGTGCTGTGGAATCAGAGCAAGCCAAATATCTTCTGGAGTAGCCAACAGACCCTTGGATGAGCAATAGAGGTTATTCGACAGGGGATTACAAAATCTGTCATAAATTTGCATCCTGAATTCCATTGAATTATTTAAAATATGTTCTTACGATAGTCTAACTTAATTTTTAACTCTTCTAAAAATAAATACAATTTCATTATATTTGTAAAGTAATATATTTCCATATCATAGGAAATGGGGAAACTTATGATACAATCAATAATTATTTTAAAAAAGCATGCTGTCAAGATAAATTATTACGTGAAGATAAGGATTTTAAGCCACATAATATTGGTTGATTCTGATCCTTAATCAATAAAAATTAGCAAATCTATTTAAATTATAATCAGAGCTCCTGGATTAGAAATAATTTTGATTAAGTGGTCCTTTAAAGTAAATGCCAGACATGATTGAAAATGTCACAAAGTGATCAGAATATCCTTCTGATGCCAAAGCTGACAGTATGACTTGCCCAGGAATTACACATTCTAATTGAGACAGAGTGGAGCCAGATAGGCAGACATTTCTGCAAATTTATTTGACTCTGTCTTCAGTTTTTAACAGTAAGACTGGTAAACATTTCTATATTAAAAAATGTCTTAAGGAAAAATGAAATTTTCTTTCAGATATTTATGTTTTACCATTAAAGCTAACTAGAAAAATGAAAAGGACATAAATATAATGCATAAGTGGATTATTGATTCTTGAGCATGTCAGTAGTTAGATATAAATCTCAGTGGAACTGAAAATAAGCTATTAATATTTAAATTTCATTGCTTTAATTAATTTTATCAGTATCAAATCATGCATGGAAATAGCTAATTTAATATTAAAAGTATACACTTTTCATTGTTATAAGAAGAATCACTGTGGGTGTAACAACATCTGACTAAGTAATTAAACTAGGCAACATCACTTATTTTACATATATCTGCCCACACTATATCATTCAATTAGCTTATAATTGTTAAACAAATTAAATTCTGATTTTTATTAATTATTTGTCCAATATATATGATAGTTTGTATCCAAAATTTGGCCAGTGGTTTTAAAGCAAGATGTTTTGCCATTTTAAAAATAATTTTTTTCCAAATAAATTTTGTTTTATTTAGAAGTGATACAGGCAATCACATAATTCCAAGTTTTAAAAATATGATTAACATTTCTCTCTATATATGTTTATATGAAAAGAAATGTCACGTTTTATTTATATATGTATATGTGTATATAAATAAAAATTGACATTTATTTTTATATATATATATGTTTAACAAAGTCTTTAACCATTTGACTCAGTTTCCTTTATTGGTTTAGCCGCTTTGAGGGAATAGGGAAAATAAGGCTTTACCCTTCTTTGCATCACTCCATTCAAACCTCAGTGCTATTTCCTGAACACTCACAACATTTCTGAATCCGCTCTGGATTCTGGGGAATGCATCCGAAGAGGCCAAGACAGTGTTCCTCTGCCCTCAACCAAAGCTTTCATCTGGACTGGAAATGCTTTTCTTTATTCTCTTTGCCTAATAAACTCCTATACATCATTCACAATCCAATTAAATTGTCATATTTTCTATGAAACCTATCCTGAAGCTGCTAGAGAGTGCTAAAAGTTCCTTCCTTCTCTGGGATGATAACGTAAGTGTGTGTGTGTGCGTGCGCGTGTGTTTATCCTCACAGGTGTATATGTACACATGTGTGTTTCTAAAACCATCAGTGGTTGTCAATAAAACTTTGTATAGAGGAGATGGCTAATGAATTCTATCTGTGCCGCTGTTACTTTTAAAGAGTGTCACCACTTGGTTAAAATTGTTTGGGGCCCTTGGAAATCACTAACCATGGTACCTAAATAATTCAAATTTCTCCTATCCAAAGCAGCTCCAAGTACGTTCAGCTTGTGAACAATTAACGTACAGAATTCTCTACCGCTATTAATAAATGCTGATTTGTTTAAATAACTGGACATTTAAAACTAATTCTCAGTAGAAAATTTACCTTATGTATCTTATGTACATATTTTACCACTAAATCAATATGCTGATGGACACATCAAGTGACAAATCACAGATAAAAATTTATTTCTTTCCAGGAAAAAAAATCTATTCTCACTTTTAAAATGAGATCGTGTAGAATACATTGTGGGAGGAAATGAAGCATTGCAGTACTTGGAAAGTAATGCTCCATTAAGACCCAAATGCATCAACCTAGATACCCTGACTAATTTTACAGGAGTTTAATGCACTACTAGAACATTGAAATCTGTGAAATAGCTCCACTAACTTGATTTTTAAGTGATTTTTGTGGTATTTAAGGGAAGCAGTGTACTTTTATAGTTGTTATAATAGAGTAGGTAATGTAAAACTAATTGTATAAATAGTAGCAAATGATAACCAGAAAATATGCGAAATATATATATTCAGACTTTCATCTTCTTTTTTTTTTTTTTTTTTTTTTTGAGACGGAGTCTCATTCTGTCCCCCAGGCTGGAGTGCAGTGGCATGATCTTGGCTCACTGCAACCTCCACCTCCCGGGTTCCAGCGATTCTTCTCCCTCAGCCTTCCAAGTAGCTGGGATTACAGGTGTGTGCCACCAGACCTGGCTAATTTTTGTATTTTTAGTAGAGACAGGCTTTCACCATGTTGTCAAGCTGGTCTCAAACTCCTGCCTCGTGATCTGCCCGCCTCAGCCTCCCAAAGTGTTGGCATTGTAGGCATGAGCCACCGTGCCCAGCCTATCTTCTTTGTTTTTAACAATACCAGCCAAGCAAGGCACATGTGATCTTTAGAGGGAATGAAAACGAGAAAATTTCACAGATGTGCAGTTACTCTCTAATGGGTTAAAATTCTGTTTCCTGAAGTTACTCCATTAGAGGTGGGAGACAGAGGAACAAAACCAAACAGTTAAATATGTATCTATGTACACCACATAGCCTCTGTCTACAGAAGAAAAAAGTCTCAATATTGCTAAAACTTAAGTAGAATATTTCAAAAAACATTCTGTATGATGTCTCTATTATATTTTTAGAAAAAAACATTATTTAGTGAGGTTTTCAAGGAGAGGAACATAGGTAAAATAGATCATTTTGCTAATTAATTTATAGCATGTAATGCTGGAAAAGAATGCCTAGTATGTGTGTCAGATTCATCCTTTTGGAGAAAAGTTTGAAAACATCCCATTTCATTGTGTCAACGTAGTTCCCTGAACCCATGCAGCTTGCACACTGCAGAAACACAGAAGAATTCAGTAGCATTTATTAGAAGTAGTAATAGTGATCAACTGTCCATTGGAAGGGTTCTAGGCAGAAATTTAGATTGTTTCTGAAGTGTCTTACAACTCTGAAATTATATGTTATCTTAATTTTGTTTTCCTATTTATGTATGTATAGGATTAGAAGATTTATTCTCACACAAAAGTATGCAGACATAAAAAAAATGAGGTAATGACATAATGGAAAGGATTTACTCTTTGGGGTCAGAAAAAAACAAAATGTAAATCCTAAATCATTATGATGCCACTTCCTACCTACGCGGCATTAGGATTATTTACTTAGTTTTTGAGACTCAGGTTCTTTCTTCATTGGGTGATTTTAAGCTTGGAAATTACTTTCTCTATTTTGCAACAAAGTTTCTGAAAAAGAAAAGGACTGAAGACCTCAGTGGTTTACTGCTGTTTCAAATGAGAAGAAACATTGGATTTGTTAATTTTAGAGAAAGTTTATTTCAGTCATGTTTTGCAACTTACTCCTCTGGGAATATCTTCCATTTACTGTGTCCTTTCCAAACCAAAAAATATAAAGAATGATTCCTTAATACTAGCTGCATTTCTATAAATGAAGATTGCTTCCTTTATTTTTTTAGTGAAACAAATATCATTATACAACTGTGTGTGTGTGTGTGTTTGTGTGTGTGCGTGCACGCACGTGTAAATGTGGATATATTTTTCCCTTTAGTCTCAGTCAGATTGCAGTGTTTGGCTGTACATACTCTCAAACAGACAACCTACAGAATGGGAAATTATTTTTGTAAATTATGCATCTGATAAATGTCTACTATCCAGCATCTATAAAACACTTAAAAAATTTACAAGAAAAAAAACAAACTACCTCATTAAAAAGTGAGCAAAGAACATGAACAGACAATTTTTAAAAGCATATATACATGTGGCCAACACTCATGAAAAAAAGCTGAACATTACTAATCATTACAGAAATGCCAATCAAAATCAAAATGAGATACCATCTCACACTAGTCAGAATGGTCAAATAAATTAAAAAGTCAAACAACAGTTGCTGGAGAGGCTTCAGAGAAAAAGAAATGCTTATACACTGTCGGTGGGAGTGTAAATTGGTTAAACCATTGTGGAAGACATTGTGGCAATTCTTCAAAGACCTAAAAACAGAAATACCATTTGACCGAGCAATTGGGTGTATACACAAAGGAATCGAAATCATTGTATTATAAAGTCAGGCATATGTTCACTGGATCAAAAAAAAAAAATGTGGGACGTGTACACCATGGAATAGTATGCAGCTATAAAAAAATGAGATTATGTCCTTTGCAGGAACATGGATGGAGCTGGAGGCTCCATTTATCACAGGAACAGAAAAGTCAAATACTACATGTTCTCATTTATAAGTGGGAGCTAAATGATGAGAACCAATGGATGCATGGAGGGGAACCACACACACTGGGACCCTATTGAAGAGTGGAGAATGGGAAGAGGGAAAGGATCAGGAAAAATAACTAATGGGTACTCGGCTTAATACCTGGGTGATGGAATAATCTGTATCACAAACCCCCATGACACAAGTTAACCTATATAACAAACCTGCACATGTACCCCTGAACTTAAAGTTAAATAAAAATATTAAACAATGGGGAAAAAAACCTATACATTCTCTTCATATATTAACATTTGATTCTTTTGGCCCTTTGCTGTAATAAATTCTGTCCAATCAAACATTTCACTAGTGCCTAAATCCAAAATATATACCCAATGGGATGGAAATGCTCAATCATAACATATAATAAATTAACCCTTTTCTATAGTTCTGTTAATGGCAGCAAATCTGCATGGGTCTGCAGTAACCTCAATTCTTGCTTTCTCAGAAGGAAGAATTCAACCAAGGAGGTATAAGGTAGAAGGAGAGACTGAGACAAATTTTACAGGCGTGAAAGTTTATTAAACAATTTTAGAGCAGGAATGAAAGGAAGTAAAGTACACCTGCAAGAGGACCAAGCAGGTGACTTGAGAGCTCATGTGTGCCATTTGACCTTTTGACTTGGGGCTTTATATGTTGGCATACTTCTGGAGTCTTGTGTTACTTCTCACTTGATTCTTCCCGTGGGGTGGGCTGATGCATGTGCAGTGGGATCTCCGCATGTTCAGTGGCCAGTGTGTTTAAAGGAGTCATAGGTATGCTCACTTGAGGCATTCTTCCCTTACCAGTCTAGCATTCCTAGAGGAGGGTCTAGGTTAGACTTCACCATTTTGCCTCTTTGTGTGCCTGCTTGAACCCACTTGCCCAGCTCCTGAGATCGTATCAGGAAGCTGCTGATCATCACTTTCAGGGTGTTTTTTTTTTTTTTTTTTAATTAACTCCATTGGAAGATTACCTTTCCCTGGTGCTGGCTGTGGCCAATTATTATTTTAGAAAGACAGTTATGACCATCATTGGATGGTCACCTGACATTCTTGGTGTGTGTGTGTGTGTGTGTGTGTGTGCGCGTGTGTGTGTGTGGTGGTGGTGGCAGAGGAGCCTTCTCCTGCCCTGCTTGTGCCTGACTAGCTACCTACTGTAATAGTTCTGGTAAAAATTAAATGTCGGAAATCTAGTTACTGCTTTGGGTGGGCTGCTGAGCTTAAAGATCAGGTTCATCAGTGGATAAGTTGCATCCTTCATCCAGTTTACAAGTCATGGAATACACTTAACCCTGACTTATAAATTTGACAAGAAAAAGTCTGGATTGCTCCATGCTGGTGTGCATTGTAGGGAGAGAAAGACACATACTACAGTTATGACTTGGTGAAACGGGGTACTTAAATTATAGAAGCTCCCTGTCTTAGTCCATTTAGGCTACTATAACAAAATAGTATAAACTGGGTGGCTTATAAACAACAGAAATTTACTCCTCACAGTTCTAGAAGCTGAGAAGTTCAAGATCAAGGCACCCAAAAATGTGATGTCTGCTGAAGGCCCACTTCCTGTTATATATAAGGTGTCTTCTCACTGAGTACTAGCATGGTTGAAGAGGGCAAGACAGCTCTATGGGGGCCATTATTATTTGAACATTAATCCCATCAATGAGGGTTCCGCCCACCTGATCTAATCACCCCTTAAATGTCCCACTTCCTAATACCATCAAATTGGTGATTAGGTTTTCAACATAATGAATTTAAGGGAAACATAAACATTCAGACTTTATCACCCACTTTGAATTATTTAATCAAGTCAAATTTGGGGACATTTTTACTATCCACTTTATCCACTGAAACAGTAGTTGATGATTCCAATGTGAGCCATTTAGACTGTAAGATTGATACTGAAAAATGAACAATGGCTGCAGTATAATTATTACTTTCCTAGTGATGTCATTAAATTGAAGGTATAAGAAATTGATTTTATTATTCAAAGCAGGATTTTATAAGTGCTTCTCTATTTAAAGAGAAGATATCAAACAACTTTAATAGAGCCTTCCATCTGAGGACTCTCTGAGGAGGCAAACCACACATTTATATTAGATATATACATATATTCCCAATACTTTCTTGATATGACTATCCAGCACGCACTCTTTATATGCCCATCCTAATGTTCTTTTATTTAAGACCCTGTTTAGATCACTGGGCTAGTGAAGAGTCAATCTAAAAGGTAATAATTTAAATAGGGAGGATAGATATTTTACAGGGCTTATTGTTAGCTTTAGCAATCATTTTTCCATGACTTTTTGTTTAAAATGAGACCATTTTAAATGCAAGCAGTTGGCGGCATGTTATTTAGCCATTAAAAATAATGGTAAAAAAGACTACATATAGAGTTTAAAATATAATAGTAAATAGAATATATAAAATAGTATATACAAGAATATATATATATCTACTCAATAAAATTGGAGATTTGTTTTAAAAAGCAACACACTTTTAATAAAATATGTAATCATATTAATAGTATTTATTTCTATGCATGTGACAGAATTTCTGTTCACTTTTTTCTTTGTTTTTGAAACAAATTTTCATTCTTGTTGCCTAGGCGGGAGTGCAATGGTGCAGTCTTGGCTCACTGCAACATTTGCCTCCCAGGTTGAGGCAATTCTCCTACCTCAGCCCCCCAAGTCGCTGAGATTACAGGCATATGCCACCACACCAAGATAATTTTATTTTTTTTAGTAGAGATGGGGTTTTACCATGTTAACCAGGCTGGTCTCGAACTTCTGACCTCAGGTCATCTGCCCACCTCGGCCTCCCACAGTGCTGAAACTACAGGCATGAGCCATCTAGCCCCATCCTGTCCATTTTTTTCTACTTTTTTCTCTATAATTTTATTCAATAAACATAGATTACATTCTTATATAACATATTGACATATAATAAATGACATAAATATTAGATATATAACATATATGTTAGAAAATGACATGTATAGTAGATGAACATATGTCAGTGTGAAGCTATATAGTGTAAGAAAATAATTTAATCCTGTAGATTCTGGACTTGAGCAGAATTTAGATGGTGATTCCTCTTAGCAAGTTAGCTCAATTCCATGTAGCTCCATTCATTCATCTATAAAGTGGGCATACATGTAATCTGAATTTATGAATTAAGATAAATACATTGTTATGAACAGATGTATTTATATACATAAAGGAGCCAAAATAGTGTCTCACACATAGTAGGCAGTAAATATGTATTAGCTCTTTTGATGAAATTAATACTATGGTTAAAACATTTTAAAATTGCAGACAACCTAGTATACAATGTTCTTTGAAACCACATAGTGAATCTCTGGAATTTAATTTACAATATATAATAACATCTCATAGATTTTAAGTATTGGAATATTTTTAAAAAGAAATGCCACAAAGTTCATAGACTGATGCTCATGCAATTCATTCTCTAAAAAGTCTCAAGCTCTCACTCAGTGAATTTGTTCTTCTTTTCCATTCAGTGCTAGTACCTGGCTAATATAGAATGTTTTTCCCCTTATAACCACAGCAAACAAGGGACAGGTAAAAATATGGTGGCCGTTAGAAACAGTCTCTCTGACAAGAGTGAAAAGAAAGAGCTGATAGTTGCATGGTGGGAACAGAGACAGACCAGCTGCACATTATGAAGAAACAAAACCACCACCACGACAAAACCAGGAACTGTTCATTCTGTAGAGGGACAAACAGCCTCTAGATGGAAAATATCGTTTTGTGTTTTACAGTAGAGTGAGTACATAAAGGCGATGCTTCTGCTAAATTATTAGGATTGTTATGGTTAGAATTCACTGTTTCAGAAAGCAGGAATATTTTTTCACACATTTTAAAAGGTTTTTTTTTTTTTTTAAACTTCAGTACTTTTGTGTGGGATGGGCTATGGAAAGAAATAATTGCATGAAATAACTTATTCCTTAACAATTTCAGATAATTGAGTAACAATATAGAAATTCTAAATCACAGTTAAAAAAAAAGTTTTCCTCCTTTACAGTTCAGAATATTTAAAAAATATTCTACAGGCACTTACATTAAAACTAAGTCAATTAATTTAACTAACAATAGTTATTGAAGAAAATTCATTAGTGAATAGGTTGCAGCAAAAATTAACATATCTTCACATAGAACTATTCTCCAGGTTTTACTTTAAAAAAAAAATGCCTTTCTGCTCTCTAAAAAGACAGTACAATGTGAAAAAATGAGGAAGAAAAATCAGCAGAAATTCAACATGCAAATTATATTCATTTAATCTTTGTCCTCTAAAAATTCAGAATATAATAGAAACCAGATAACCAAAATAAGGTAGAGAATATAGTTGTGTTTATCAATATTCAAAAGTCAACAAATGGTAAGAAGGGATTATCCTGGCCTAAATAATGATAGAGTGATATCAACCACCTAATAACTTCCCTGAGAAAATACTGTTTCTGACATTGAATGCTCCAGTTCTTCCTGTAATCTTTGTTCCACTCTTTTATATGTCATAAAAGTCTACTCTTGTAATTCAATCATGAATCGTGTTTTTATATTGGAATAATGAGCTTCAGTCTTGATATCTTGCTAAAGTTAACTCCAAATTCTTAAACAATGTGAAATAGTTTTCTTTTAAAAACTAAAAACAAAATTCAATAGGAAGACTGAACCATAATTCTTCTTTTTTGTCGAAACTAAGACTATATTTCCTCAATTGCAAATTATCTTTGATGATAAGAATCATCACCAAACTAGTAAAAATGCTTGAAAGAAAAACATTATCATATTTAATGTATATATTGGTTGTGAAATGATATTTAACTTCACTAAAGTTAATATTATAAAAATATAAAAATTATTTCTCAAAATTTCTTCCTTAAGGATGGATAGGTAATGTGATAAAGCAAATGTAACAAAATGTTAGATGTAGTTGTTATATGAATATGTGTTATGTTCTCTTTGCTGTATATTTGAAAAATTTCCAGATAAAATGTTGGGAA